ACTTACAACCTTGAGGTCAAGAGTTGAATGCTCCAGCGCCTGAGCCAGCCAGGCACCCCTTATCTCATATTTGTTTGTTTATGGTCAGTATGGACCCGAAGGATTCTTAGAGTGGATTATTTATACTTATTAATTATAACAACTTATAATTATTATAAAATTCTATAATTCTAAAATTGTCCCAGATTTGCCCAGTGGGTGAACTAGCCCCCTTTGGTTGCTCTGTGCATCCTGGGTTCCCTATCAAAGCCTACGCTGAGCTGCCTGTGGCGTGTCTAAGAGCCCAGAAACTTTGAGAGTCCCTAGCAAATAGGAGGCCCTCAATAAATGTTTTAACCACTGTGAAAACAACAGCTTCCCTACCTTTAATACCAATAATAGTAATTTTAATGCTTATTTCTCTAATTATAAAAATAATTTATGTTCAGGGTGCCTGGCTGGCTCAGTGGGTAGAGCATGAAACTCTTGATCTTGGGGTTGTGAGTTTGAGCCTCACCTTGGGTGTGGAGGTTACTTATTTATTTATTTATTTTAAATATTTTATTTATTTGACAGAAAGAGACAGCGAGAGAGGGAACACAAGCAGGGGGAGTGGGAGAGGGAGAAGCAGGCTTCCTGCTGAGCAGGGAGCCCGATGTGGGGCTCGATCCTAGGACCCTGGGATCATGACCTGAGCCGAAGGCAGACGCTTAACGACTGAGCCACCCAGGTGCCCCTGGAGATTATTTAAAAAAATAAAATAAGGGGGGGCACCTGGGTGGCTCAGTCAGTTAAGCGTCTGCCATCAGTTTAGGTCGTGACCTCAGGCCCTGGGATTGAGCCCCATGCTGGGCTCCCTCCTCAGCGGGGAGTCTGCTTGTCCCTCTCCCCCTGCCCCTCCCCCAGCTTGCGGGCAGACGTGCACACGTGCTCTGTGTCGCTCTCATAAATGAATAAAATCTTCTAAAAAATTTAAAAAAAATTTTAAATTGAAAAAATAATACATGTTCAGTGCAGAAAATGTGGAAATATAGAAAACACAAAAGGAAAAACAATAAAGCCAAACTCATTCTTTGTATCAACTCGGAGATAATAATTGATTACATTTTGATGTATATGCTTCCAAAATTTCTCCATATGGGTGTTTCATTTTTGTTTTGTTAAAAAAAAGTTATTGTAATGCGTCTACTCTTTAATAGGCCTTTTCAAATTAGTCTACCATTTAAGAATGTTTCTATCATACAAGTAATATATCTGATAAGGGATTACTATCCAGAATATATAAAGAACTACAACTCACACACACACACGATTTAAAAATGGGCAAAGACATTGAATAGACATTTCTCCAAAGAAGATATACAAAGGTCCAATAGCCACACGAAAAGATTCTCAACATCACCAATCATTAGGGAAATGCAAATGAAAACCATAAAAATACTTCACATCCATTGGGATGGCTATTATAAAAACAAACAAAACACAGGAAATAACAAGGGTTGATGAGGATATGGAGAAGTTAGAACCCTTGTGCAGTGCCTGTGAGAATGTGAAATGGTGCAGTCCCCATGGAAAAAAGTACAGGGGCTCCTCAAAAAATTAAACATAAGGGCGTCTTGGTGGCTCAGTCGGTTAGGCGTCTGCCTTCGCATGATCCCAGGGTCCTGGGATTGAACCTGGCTTCGGGCTCCCTGCTCAGAGGGGATCCTGCTTCTTCCTCTCCCTCTGCTGCTCCCCCTGCTTGTGTGCTTGTTCTCTCTCTCTCTCTGTCAAGTAAATAAATAAAATCTTTTTTTTTAAAGATTTTATATATTTACTTGAGAGAGAATGAAAGACAGAGAGCCCCGTAAATAAATAAAATCTTAAAAAACAAATTAAACATAGAATTACCATATGATCCAGGAGCGCCTGGGTGGCTCAGTCGTTTAAACGTCTGCCTTTGGCTCAGGTCTTGATCCCAGGGCCCAGGGATCGAGCCCCATGGCAGGCTCCCTGCTCAGCGGGGAGTCTGCTTCTCCCCCTCCCTCTGCCCCTGCTTGTGCTCTCTTTCTCTCTCTTGCTCACTCGCTCTCTATGTCAAATAAATAAATAAAATCTTAAAAAAAAAAAAGAATTATCGTATGATCCAGCCATTCCATGTCTAGGTATACAACCCAAAAAACTGAGAGCACAGACCTAAACATATTTGTGCACCCACGGAGCAACACTATTCCCAATAACTAAAATGTGGAAACAACCCAAATGTCCATCAGCAGGTGAATGCATAAACAAAATGTGGTCTCTACATATAATGGCATATTATTTAGCCTTAAAAATGAATAAAACTCGGTGCGCCTGGGTGGCTCGGTCTTTAAGTGTCTGCCTTCAGCTCAGATCATGATCCCAGGGTCCTGGGATCGAGCCCTGCATCGGGCTCCCTGCTCAGCGGGAAGCCTGCTTCTCCCTCTCCCACTCGCGCTGCTTGTGTTCCTTCTCTCGCTAACTCTCTCTCTGTGTCAAATAAATAAATAAAATCTTAAAAAAAAAAAAAGAACAAAGCTCGGACACAGGCTACAACACGAATGAACCTTGGAAATATTATGCTAAGTGAAATAAACCAGACACAAAAGGACAAATTGTGATTCCACTTTAATGAGATACCTAGAAGAGCCAAATTCATAGAGACAGAAAGTAGAATGGTGGTTGATGAGGGTTGTGGGGAGGAGGGAACGGGTACAGAATTTCTCTTTGGGATACTGACAAAGTTCTGGAGATGGATAGTGGCGGCGGTTGCCCAGTAAGGTCAACGTATTTAATGCTACTGAACTTAACAGAAATGGTTAAAATAGTAAATTTCAGGTTATGTATATTTTACCACAATTTAAAAAATGTTTGTATCAGTAAGTTCCAAACTTTGTTGAGCATTGGAACCTCCTGATCTTGAAAAAATAGTGTCAGGCTGCCACCCCAGTCATTCTGATTCTAGTATAGGGTATGACCTAGGTGTTGGGGCTTTTTTAAAGCCCCTTAGATGAATCCAGTGTGCAGTGGAGTTTGGCTCCCAGTCCGGTGCTCTTCCCCCAGCGTAAGGTTGGGCCCCCAAACCTCCCTTGGCTGGTGCAGTTAGGGTGGGGGGGCACAGGTCAGACCATTCTCTCTGCAGGGCACATCCTCCCTGCCCGTCTCTCCTGACTTCAGGCCTCAGCTCTGTTAGGCCGACCCAAACAAAGAAGGTCCCAGTGTTCACCTCCTCCCTCATTTTTCATAGCACTTACCATATTTTTACAAGATTTTATTTATTTGAGGGCGCCTGGGTGGCTCAGTTGGTTAAGCGACTGCCTTCGGCTCGGGTCATGATCCTGGAGTCCCGGGATCGAGTCCCGCATCGGGCTCCCTGCTCAGCGAGGAGCCTGCTTCTCCCTCTGACCCTCCCCCCTCTCATGTACTCTCTCTCATTCTCGCTCTCTCAAATAAATAAATAAAATCTTTAAAAAAAAAATAAAAATAAAAAAAAAATTTTATTTATTTGAGAGAGAGAGAGAGAGAGAAAGCACAAGTGGGGTGTGAGGAGGGGCAGAGGAAAGAGGAAGAAGCAGACTCCCCACTGATGTGGGGCTTGATCCCAGGACCTTGAGATCATGACCTGAGCTGAAGGCAGACGTTTAACTGACTGAGCCACCCAGGTGCCCCACACTGATCACATTTTTTATTTAACTTATTTACTTGTTCGCATTTTGGGGATCTGTCTCTTGCATTAAGTTCCACATAAACTCCATGAAGGAGGAAAAATGTCTTTCCACATTTTATTCCTAGCACTTCTAGTAGCATCTGGCATGTAATAAATGCTCAGTTAATGTTTGTGGAATGAATAAATACTGTTGTTCTTCTCTTCCATTGCCTCCCTCTCCCAGGCTCTTGGGCTGCTCTAGAAAGGGGTCGGTCGTTAAGACCATTGTTCCAGCATCTTCTTTGTTTGTTGTTTTTTATTGTTTTCACAGTTTTTGGCGCCTTCCCAGTCCCCACCTTCTCTTCAGGGGCTTGTTCATTCATTCATTCATTCGTTCGTTCATTTGTTCACTTATTCAACAAGCATTTACTGAGTACCTACTATGCCCCAGGCACTGTGGAGCACAGGTACTGTAGGCCCTTGGGAACAAAATGACTGCTCTTGGGGAACATACAGTCTACTGGGGGAGACAACTGAGTAATCATATACACATATAATTATAAACCATAGTAGTGCTATGAAAGACAGGATAGGGGAACCTAGTGAGGGGATGGCGGTCAGAGGCTTCCCTGGAGAAGGTGGGTTACCTGTGCAAATAGGAGTGGGATGGGGATGGGGGCAGTCAAAAGAGCAAGCCAGGCATATGGAATAGTCTGTGCAAAGGCCCCGAGGCAAGAGGGAACACAGGATATTGGAGGGAACACAGTGAGAACAGAGGGGCTGTTAGGAGAAAGACCAGGGCTAGTCTTGAAGGTCGCCTTAAAGATCCTGGTATTTCCCCTAAGATTAATGCAAAGGTCACTGATCCTTATAAGGGACGTGTACCGGAAAGCGGACCACTCCTGCTCTTTTCCCTCAGTTACCAGACTCTACCACTCTTGTCCTCCTCCACCTAGCGTTCTTCCACTTCTGCTCCCTCCTCCTAGGCCCCCTTAGCCTATTCTCCACTTCTCCCACCCCCCAGCCTGCTGTCCAGGGTCTCACCCTGGTGGTCCTCTTTGTCCCCAGTCAGAGCTGTACTCCTTTCCCCAGCATTTCCCTTTGCTCCGCCAACACCCCAAGACCCTCCGGCCTCCAGCCCTGCCCACATAGCGCACCACGCCCTGGCTGGGTGGCCTGCTGCGGAGGGGTGCAAAACCCATAGGCCAGGTGGTCTGAGAACTCTTGACTCCTGACTTCTGACCTCATCCAGCCCCTTCCTGCCTCCTGAGAGAAGCAGCTCTGGGTTGTGGGGCAGGGAGGGGACTGGAGCGCCTGCTGCCTGACGTGGAGTCTGTTCCCGCCCAGGTGGAGCCCATAGAAGGGAAACAGGGCAGATGGGGCATCAGACTTTATTGAGGGGATTTCTGTCACTGAGGGAAGAGTGAATTGTTGGGGGGGGTGGTGATTAAAGAGGTGAAGTAGGAGGAGCGTCGATTCTGACAGGAGTGGGCTGAGGGGATTATAGGGAGTGTTGGGAGGTGACGCACTGGGGACCTAGGGGAGGGCAGAGGGAGGAGAGGGCTCCGGTGAGAGGGGGCAGCGAGGAGAGGTGAAGGCCCCGAGGAAGCCATGGTTGAGGCCTGGGAGCAGGCAGTCTTTTCAGGAGAGGAGGCAGGCACACAGGGCAAAGCCGTGGCCTGGGGAAATGGACAGCATCCTGGACCTCCTGGAGGCCTGCTGCCTGGCACTGGCCTCCTCACTTCCGGGTGCCCAGGGCCAGTGTGATGATGAAGCCCAGAACCAGCAGGAACATGGCAACAGAGAGGAGCACTGTGATGACCACCATGCCCCCCGTCCGGGCCATTCCCAGCCCAATGGATTCCACCTTCCTTCCTGTCGGAAGAGAGAGGGGGGAGGCCTTGGTGGGCAGGAGGAGCCCCTGTCCTGACCCGAGGCTCTCTGGCTCATCCAGCTGTCCTTCATCCATTTATTCATCCAACCAATCAACTGATCCACACATCCATCGCGTAAACATTTATGAAGCATCTCCTGTGTTGGTCACTGAGGACACAGAAATTAATTGGACACAATCCCTACCCACATGGAAGCTTTAGTTTATGAGATGAGTCAACAGGCAGTTAAAAGGCCAAGGGCTCAGGGCTAGGATACAGGTACGCCAAGAAGCTAAGGGAGCCCAGGGAGGGGTAGCTGGGATGGATGGGGTGGAAAGGCCAGGGAAGATCTGGGAGGCATTGATTTACTTACGAGGAAGTGTGGACATTGGGGTCTCTCTGCTGGACTCAGTGGATGTCCCCTTCGTCACTAGGTAGGAAATGCTTTTGTGGTGGGGTTTGGGAGAGAGAGGAGAGACTCCTCAGTGATTATCTGGGACTTGGGAAAAGAGCGAGGGAGCCCAGGCCTCCCCCTTCTCAGCCGTGCCCTCCTCCAGGAGAGGCCCGTTCTTGACCCCTTCGGCTGTATCCTCACTTTCTTACCCCAAGCTGACCAGATCCCTCCCCACCAGCAAATGTCAGGACCCATCTTCTCTCCCTGCACCCCCTCCAACAGGTGGCCTGGATCTGGTACCTACTAGTATTTGGTTCCTGGCACGAGGTCTGTCACCTGGTACGCACTGAGCCGGGTGACCGTGAAGCCGGCCCCACTGTCCACCACACTCACCAGCTCCCTGCGCCCACGGCACGGAGGCACCACGAAGCTAGATTTCACCACTGGGCAGGAAATCGGGGGTGAAGTCAGGGATGTGCTTCTGGAGGCCCCAAGGAGAAAGGGCAGCAGAATACGGGTGGCCCAGGAGAAGGGTCGATAAGAAGGCAGGAGCAGGGGACCGGGTGCGGGTGGTGTCCTGGGTAGGGGTCTCTGGGGACCAGGGGGCCATCTTGGGAGGGAGTAGCAAACCTTGGCTGTCATTGGCTCTCCGGACCATCAGCGTGGCATTGCCCCCTGTGAGGTGACAGGGGGGCAAGGCAACAAGCAGGCTCTCTGTTAACGCCGGAGACAGCAGACCAGACACGCTCGAGATGTTGAAGTCTGCTGGGGGGCCAAGAGGGAGTTCCGGGTGGGGGCAACCAATCCCCTTCCCCACCATCAGATCTGGCCCTGACCCCTGGGGGCCATTTCTAAGGATGAAGCCCCCTCCCCGTCCGCTCTACCTCGGGTTGGCAGGACACAGGCCGTTGCTTGTCTGACCACCAGGTGGCAGGCTTGGGCTGCAGAAGCGGGGCTGTCCACCAAGCGGCCAGACTCTGGGCGCGAGCACGGGGCAGCGACCAACCTTACCCCAGTTCCTAGCCGGGGGCCCTTCCCCACACCTCTCTGCCTCCCGGGTTTGGAAGAGGACCAGGAGTGTGCTCTGGGCTCAGTGACTGATGCGTGGTCACTGCCATCACCAGCCCCCCAACCCCAACTGGCCAGACCAGCTCCTCTTTGAGGGCCTTGGAGGGCACAGTGCCTCCTCCCTGGGCCTCAGAGTCCCTAGCCCCACCCCAGCAGGGATGGCAGAGACCTGAAGCCCCCGGGGCCAGGACAGTCAGCAGAATCAGGATCAAGGGCAAGGTCCGGGTGGGCAGCAGGGATGCCATAGCTGGGCTGGGAGCTAGAACGGGCGCTGGCAGGCTGTGGCCTCTGGAGGCAAGTGAGGCCAGGCCCCTGGGGTGGCTGATTTTGTCTTGGGGTGGGAGTGGCTGGAGGGGAATCCTGTCCAACCTGCCCTTCGGGCCCTACAGCCTCAGGGCAGGCCCCCCAGACAGGTTTTTCAAGACGGGGAACTGGCTCTCAGGCCAGAAGTAGGGATGCCCCGGCTGGATCTTGATGGCTTAGTCAGCTGCAGAGGGGCAGGGTAACTAAGGTGGGGGTGGAAATCACCCCTTCCCCTGGCACTCCCACATGTTAGGGCCTGAGTGTTCCTGCCTGCACGTGCATCTGGAGTGTGGCCTGTTGAGGACCGCTCCCCACAGATGGTGGGAATCTTCCAGAAGGGTAGCAAGTTCTGAGATTGTCCTGGTGTGCACGAAGAGGAGAGGAACGCCAAGGGGCTCCAGATAGGGCCTTGGCCGGGCAAGGATGGGAGGGAAACTGAGGCTGGTAGTAGGGAATGGGGGCAGCAGAGCCAAGGGTTCCAGTTCACTTTGTCCAGTGAGGCCCAGACAGTGCTGCTCTGGGAGAGGCAGAGTGGTGTTGGCGCCAGGGAGCGTGTGGGAGTCAGATTCCTCTGGGGAGAGGGGCAAAGGGATGCTAGGGGAGACTTTCAGAGAGACAGGAGAGGTGGGCACCAGCCCAGTCCAGCAGGGATAGGCCGCCAGCCTTGGTCAGCAACCATTGTTGAACTGATTGAGAATGAAGGAGAGAGAGACGTGGTAGGAGAAAATAAAAAGAGACACAGCCCCTCTGACTGCATCCCCCACCCCTGTGCTCAATCAGACAGAAGTGAGGGACGAGTTTTTGTGGAAAGCGAGGAGCGATGAGGAGAAAGTACCCACTCTGGGCACAGGGCATGTGCCAACAGACCTATGCGTACGGCCATCATGGGCTGTCCACAACACCTGCTCCCTTTTGTAGATGTGGGAGCAGACTCCAAGGGAGACTGCTAGGAGAGGCCGAGAGCTACACAGGGAGCCAAGAGGGATGTCTCCGCGCCATGAACCCTTCTATCTTCCCCAGTTCCAGAGAAGGGCCAGGGTCCTGTAAGGAAGGGGGGGGCATGTTCTTACCCCCACGGTGAGAGGGGGAGTTCAAAGCCGGAGTGCAAGCATGGGGTGACGGTGAGGATAGAACTCATGGACCCAAACAGGGGTCGGTGGGTCTTAGACCAGCGCTTGTCCACATTTACTGTGCCTCTGAATCACTAAGGATCTTGCTGAGAGGCAGTTTCTGATTCAGTGGGTCTGAGGTGAAGCCTGAAAGTCTACATTTCTATCGAGCTTCCAGGTAACAAGGACTGATGCTAGTCTGAGAGGCCCAGACTTTGAATTGCCACATGCTCTGTGCTGCACCCCGCCCCCCCCACACACACTCTGGATCCTCTTTGATGGAGATCAGGGGCAGGTGTTTTTCCCCCAGTTTCCCAGAACAGGCTGCCTTGAGGTGAAGAATTGAATTCTCTTTTTCCTATGCCTTGGTTTTTGTCCCCTTTCTGGTGGGATCCTACCATCATTCTACAAACTGAAAGAGGACCATTTGCACATTGAGGAGAACTTTGGAGAGAGGGAACACACTAGGTGCTGGCATCCTGAGGGTCAGGAGATCTTCCTGGTGCTCGTCAAGCAGGATGTGTACGCTTGGGCTTGGGAGGTGTCTCTTCCCATTTCAGTCACAAACCAGGAAGCAGAAAGAAGAGGCTGGGTTTATTGCGGGCTGGGTTGTGTTGGGTCCACGCCTCAGCCCACATCCCATCTGAAATTATGAGCGGGACAGAGTAGGGTAGGGATAACAGGGCCCTGTGCCTTTAAGCCCTCCCTTTTCCCTCCAGCCCCCCTTCCCCACCCCGGCCCTCCCCAGGTTTCTGGAGGAACTGAGAGTTGCGTCTTCTCCCTGCCCTGCCGAGCTGCTCACTGGCTGCTCAGGAGGCTGTGCTTTGTGGTCTCCATGGAAACCATTAGTTGCTAGGCAACTGGAGCATCATCTGTGCTGAGCTCTCGCATCTAATTATCCCATCACAGCGGCAAGGAGGGTTTGGGGAGCTGCGAGGAGGGGGAGGCCAAGCGCAGAAGCAAGAGGATAACTCTTTTAGCAGAGCAGATTCATTGACACGCTGAAGTCATTTAAAGCCACAGCACCCTGTGCCTCTGGAGGATGTCCTCCCGGCTTGGAGTAAGGGAACCGGGGCCACAAATGCCTGGAGTCGCTCTCTTGGACCCACACTTTCTAGGCTGTCTTCCCCTCGGAGTCTTGATTCTAAACTCACTCAAGTTTCCTCTTCTGCCCCCTTCCTTCCCCGTCCCATCCCCAAGTCAACAAACATTTATGAAGCACCCGATCTGTGCTAAGCATCAGGTCTACAGAGGCAAAGTAAGTTTCTGCCTCAGGGAGTTCTTAATCTCTCTATTCTGCCTGGACTGAAAGATTAGCTCCTAAAACTGACCTACTCTTTCTGAACTACAGTACTTTGTATTTGTTCCTGAACCGTGGTAGGTTTGTAGCCAGAGGCTCTCAGATCAGAACCCAGGTCTGTCTGGTGTACCAGTGGTTCTTGTTCTATAATGCGGCTCTTCTGCTTGCCAGTCAGTTAGAAACATGTCCACTGGGGCACCTGGGTGGCTCAGTCAGCTAAGCGTCTGCCTTCGGCTCAGGTCATGATCCCAGGATCCTGGAATCGAGCCCCTCGTTGGGCTCCCTGCTCAGTGGGGAATTTGCTTCTTCCTCTCCCTCTACCCCTCCCCCTCACTCATTTTCTCTCTCTCTCTCTCTCTCTAACTCAAAATAAATAAATACAATCTTAAAAAAAAAAAAAAAGAATCATGTCCACTTGACCCCACGGGCACGTGAGCCTCTGATGGGGACTATTGTCCTCCTGTTGATAAGCGATATCATCTGACTTTAGGCGAGTCATTTTGAACCTCAGTTTTCTCACCTATAAAATGGGAAGACTCGTTCCTTTTCAGTCATCTAGCGAGATGTGACAGATGTCAAAATGCTTTAAAATAAAGGGGTGGAAGGAATGCTGGAGATCATTGTCATAACTAGCAGGAGCAGACTGGGGGAACCCTGGGGACTTGAACCAAGAAGTAAGATGCAGGGCTCACCAAATATTGGTCTGATGGGAAATGGCAGAGCCTCTACCCTTGAGATCTGAGGAAAAGGCTGAGAGAAAAAAGTCTGTGTCATGTAGGGTTGGAAGAGACCTGGATGCTCCTTTATTTTTTTCTAATTCTCCCTATGATGCAACCACTTACCCCAAATCTTCTTCCAGCTTTGTGGCCTTGGCCATGTTACCTACCTGAGTATTCTGAGCTGCAGTTTCCTCTTCTGTAGAAAGGGTATAAAATCTGTCTCACTGAGATATTATGACCATCACTCAAGCTAATTTATTTAAGAGTGCATAGCACGATATCTGGTTCAATAAATATTAATTTAAGTAATTCATCTTATCCTCTCCTTTAACCCTTACTGCAGATGAAAACTAGAGGCTCAGAGGAAATAAATGAGTTTCCTGAGGTCACAGAGCTAGTAGCTAATGAGGTGGGATAGAAACTAGAATTTGGGGGGACCTGGCTGGCTTAGTTAGTAGAGCATGCAACTCTTGATCTCAGGGTCATGAGTTTAAGCCCCACATTGTGTGTGGAGCCTACTTAAAATAAATAAAGTTATTAATTTAAAAAGAACAGAAATCAGGGGCTCAGTCAGTTAGGTGTCTGCCTTCGGCTCAGGTCATGGTCTCAGGGTTGTAGGACTGAGCCCCGCATTGGGCTCCCTGCTGAGCAGGAAGTCTGCTTCTTCCTCTCCCTCTGTCCCACCCCTTGTGCTCTCTCTCTCTCTCTCTCTCTCTCACTCATTCAAATAAATAAATAAAACCTTAAAAAACAAAAACAAAAACCACGAATCAGAATTTGGTTTCTCAACTCTGTCATTGATACGGAGGGCAATGGTTGGGCAGGAAAGGTAGTCTGAGGGGGAAGTGACGAGATGTGGGCCAGCTGTAACTTGTATGCCAAGCATGCCACCGGGGCCCCACGCACACAGAAATTGCCTGCCCACTCGTGTTTCCATTCAGTAGACATTTGTTGAACAACTCCTCTGCAGTGGGTGCAAGGGGGCAAGAAACCACTCCCGCTATCAAGGTGCAGAGTTTTGGAGAATGAACCAGTTGAAATAAGCAGAAGGGGATATTCCAAAAAGGGAACAGCATATGAAAAGGCTCAGAGAAGTGAATTATCCTGACACCTTCTGGGAACTGGGAACAAATACATCTTCTAGAAAGAGGCATGCAAAGATGAGCAGGACAAGACCTCCAGCCCCCAGCTGGGTCACCAGTGGCTTTGTATCCTATGCTAAGGAGCTTGACTTTTACCCTGAAGAAAACAGAGAGCCTTTGAAGAGTTTTAATTGTGGAAAGAACATTTTGGAAACAGTGTGGGAAGGGATTGGCAGAGGGTAACGGATTGGCACCTTGGGTCAGGGTTAGTCTGTGTGGCCACCAGAACCCAGCAGAAGCAATGGTCACTTCTGAGGCTAGATCAGAGAAGGACTTACACCTTCCTCCTTGCTCTCTCCTGGATAGCTCACTCTGGAGGACGTGGGAGCACCGCTGGGGGAGGTCCACGTGGCAAAGGATTGAGGCCTCCTGCCCGCATCCAGCACGGAACTGAGGCTTCCAGACAATAGCCATGAGAATGAGCAAGCCTGGAAGCAGATCCTCCAGCCCCAGTTGAGCCTTCAGATGACTGTGGCCCAGGCCGACATCTTTTACTGCAACTTCACAAGATACTCAGAGCCAGAACTGCCCAGCTAAGTCTCTTCCAGATTCCTGATTCTCAGAATAATATTTGTTTTTACAAGCTGCTGATAGACAACTCATACAGATATCTTGGGAAATTCAGATGAAAATGACATTTTCATAGTTAGGTGTATGAGTCTGGGGCACAGAACAGAGGGGTGGGATAAAGAGAGGGAAGGTGGGCA